AAGGTCCTTTCCAACTTAGTGATTCTGTGAAAACTGCTCATGCAGCATGTGCTGTGGCTCTGACTTGCTCAGTAATTAAAAAAAAAATCCTGCTTTGGTTCCTCCTTGAGCAGAAGCTGCTGAGCTCATGATAGGTTTATGTTGTCCACAAGTGTGTGAAAAGAGTGAGAGTTCAGTTATTCAGCTCTATAGTCAAATTTGGACTTGGGGTACGTTGATTAAGAAGTCAAAATATGAATTAACTGCTTTTTTTAACTTTCCCTTTTTCAAGTTTTGGAATCTTTTGCCATGTATCTCCTTGAAAAGTAAAAATACTTAAAAGTGAGGCCTAAAATAACACATATAGAACTCAGAGGCAGGACGAAGGGGAACAAGAGACAAACCTAATAATGGGTTAGAAGCAGCAGAATATGGCTGATTAGATGCAGGATTTATATTTCAGCTTATTGAAAAAATAAAGGATGCTAAACACTTTTTTTAACAACAGAGTAATCTGAGATGTTCTGTGTTGAATTTGAAATGGCAAAAGATGATGTGACAAGCGTTGAAATTTATTTTGCAGCATACACCTCCTTCTGTTATCTCAGACCTATATACAGACATACAGCAAGGGCATTTGCTTTTGGATCTGTTGGAAGTGCTTTCAGGTCAACATCTGGTAAGACATAGTAATAAAAATATTACCTCAATCCTTCATCATATCCAGCAAAGATTTCTGGATATACTTAATTATAAGCATATGAATGATCCCTCTGGATTCATAGAGCTTTTTGTAAGTAACTCATTCTTACACCACTGACACTGAAACACTGAAGTGAGTTGATCCAAAGTAAATTGTGAATCTTCACAGGACTTCTCTTACTAAAATATAAAATAAAATTAATTTTTACAGCTGAGGATGTAACCTGTTCTTTTTGCTTCGCAGCCACGGGAAAAAGGATTTAATACTTTCCAGTGCAGAAGCAACATAGAAAATGCTTTGACATTTTTAAAGAGCAGATCAGTGAGTATTAACTTCAAAATTCACAACTAAAGCAACTTTAGCTGGTGGAACATTTTCTTTGTTAACAATGATCCTTTTTTTTGTTTTCCCTAGCTCAAGCTCATAAATATTCATGTTGCTGACATTATTGAAGGAAAACCTTCCATTGTGCTTGGCCTAATTTGGACAATTATATTTCATTTTCATGTAAGTATTTCAGCGATGTAACAGAGCTTTAGTAGAGGGAAGAAGCACAAAAATGTGTTGACTCATGTCAAATGAGATTAATTAGTACAAAGCAGAAGATTATTTTCTGATATCTTGAAGTGACGGCTCAGGGAGGAGACACACCAGTGCGTCTTGCCTGTGTCTCTGAGCTGCTTCACTAATGCAATGATGGCATTACAGCTGGATGAACAGTATCTATCTGCAAATGGTGGGAAGGAAAGATGTTGAGATTTTTTTAAAGTAACCAGTTAAAAAATAGGCTAAACTTTGCCTATCTGTCTAAGGCTTGTAATGGTTAAGCTCCAAATAGAGCAAATAGTGCAGTGGCTCACATCCACCTCCCTCAGAGGCAGCCCCTCTCTTCAGTGTTGGCTGTGCGCAGAATGTGTAATTCTTGCTATTATTTTTTTCAGTACCAGGTGTTTGAAATAACATGAAGGCTCTCGTAGTGATGTTACTTATAAAAGATACTGATGCTGTCTCTTATGTGGCATGAGGTTATGGGGAGGAGGGGTGTTTGAAGGCACAGGGACTTGCTTTAATCATGTTGTAGGACTGTAGAGGATGATGGAACCAAACTGTCTTCTAGCAAGAATACATCAGTGAATTAACATAAGTGTACTGGAGATGAACTGGTGACAGACGGGAGAGAGACAAGAAGCCAAGTTATTTAACAGTGTTAGATGTAGCCTGCTTTTTTCTTGGTAGAGATACTTGGATGCTGAAGGTTCTTGTGCTGCACATAGACGTATGCATTATCTTTTTACCTAAACCAAACTCCTTTAACCAAATGTAGATCTCTAAGGTCTATCAAGTAGGTTTTCCTGCATGCTGAGTGAGCAGGCAAACTCTGAGCATGCTTAATATATGACACTGACCACAGCTGCCACCAGCTGCTCTCACTGGTAGGAGTAGAAAAGCGCATTGAGTGAGAAGGTCCCTTCATGCCCCTGCTGGTACCCACAGTACAACAAGGAAGTCTTTGGGTGAATATTTCCTGCTGTAAAATCACCTAAAGATGGAAATTCAGCATGAAGTAATTCTGGTTGAACAGATTAAAAAACCTGATCTGATCTTTGGGGGCAGGGAACTACTATTACAGCTGTGACTAAGTCCTTTCTAATTCTCTGTGGTTTTCTGCAATTGATTTCTTGGTAATTTTTCACTGAAGCCTGATTAAGTCTCTCATCATCTCTGATAGATTGAAGAACTTGCCCGGACGCTTGCTTGTGCTTACAATCAGCCTTCACTTGATTGTTCAAGTGCTGTTGACTCCTCTCCAAAGGCAAGCCGATCAGCGAAAAAAAGTGCTAAAATTAAGGAACGGTGGAAGATCTCTGCTACAAAGGCTCTTTTGTTGTGGGCAAAAGAACAGTGTTCACTGTAAGTTCCATCCAAGACTTATAAATAGTATGTTACATGTTGTATTTGCTGTTTTCCTCTAAATGTGGTGATATTTTCCCCTGTTTTTTTGACATTACTTAGTGACAGCTTAGCAAAAAATCCTTTAGATTTCAGATGTTATCAGTAGTTTTAGCATCAATCAGGCCCTAAATGTTTTGACATGAGCCCTTTAAATATAAAACCGTGAAGCTAATCCCACTAATAAAATCACACACAGAATCACACAGAATCACTAAGGTTGGAAAAGACCTTTAAGATCATCAAGTCCAACCATCAACCCAACACCACCATGCCCACTAAACCATATCCTGAAGTGCCACGTCTACACATTTTTTGAACACTTCCAGTGATGGTGACTCTACAAACCACACTGTAAACAGAATTATTTGGCTTTTCTCTTTTAGGGGCTTCTGTGATTAGTCTCGTGGAATGTTTACATGATTTGCTAGTTTTAATCCTTATAGTTGGCACTAGTTAATGAAGTTTCAATAACTTTTTTTTTTTAAATGGAAAATGTAGGATTTCTAGGATTCCCACATCTCCTGTTTTTCTGGCAAAACACTGCATGATCCCCAAGGAGCCTAGTGCTAGAGGTCCTAGTCCCCAGTTCTAACAAGATGTTTGCTTATGCTTGATGTAGATAGCTCTGTTGATTTCAGTGGGAGTATTCACAGCGCACAATCTAGAACAGATACAGGTATTTCTTGCTTTACGTTTTCTTCAAGGGCTACTGCTTCGCTCCAGGACGTTTCACATATGTTTTGCAATAATATCAGTCCTTTCTCTCCAGCTCTTCAGTTGCTTTACGTTCTAATAACATCCTACTAATATTCCATGTTGTAAGTGGGAGATGAAGGTCTTCATCAACACATCAGACCCCTTCTGCTGGGAGAATGTTTTGAGGCACTGAAGTTTCCCTTTTAGCTGTGCTTTATCAGGACAAGATTGATTGGCATGTAAAAAACAGCTCTCTGTCCATTTATTCTTCCTCTTTCTTTTGCTTGTTTTTCTTCTTCAGCAATATTGTTGTATGTTTTTGTAGCATCCTTTCTGAACTGTTGATTACATTGAATGATTTTGTTATCAGTGAATCCTATAGTTTTTTGGTAAAAGAACAAATCTTGTGAGTCCTGGCCCATTGTTTTGTAACTAAATTTGATCACCTGAAACCCCACACCTTTTCCATGCTGTAACATACTGATACTGGGCTGTTTCCGGAAAGTTGTCCCAGAATTCACTGTGGCGTGCAGAGCTGGGGACCTCACAGCACTGTGCAGGTACTGGTTAATAGAAGATGTTTAAATACAAAACTAAATAAGAGAAAAAAAAATATTTTTCCTGCAGTAATAGATCACTTTTAAGGTCTGTATTTTCTAAAATGCTAGAGGTGATTCCAATACTTCGTGCCCTTACAGACAAATACCTACAAGTTCTTCAGTGCTTTGCTTGTTGTTGTTTTTCCATCCCATAGAATGCATAGATACTGAGCACAAAGGTTATGTTCTGAAGGTATATTGTATCAGCAAGGTTTTATCTTCAGAATGCAACATAAGAGAAAAACACTGAGTCGTTTTGCAAAAATAGTTTAAAAATATATAATTGTAGTGTATAGTATAATTGGTAGTACTGGCTATATTGTTGTCTGACCCAGCTTCTGCAGAAGTTCAGTGGCAAGGTTCTCTATAACTCCTTGGATTTGGTTCATACTCCATTTTACTGATTTCATATTCTTTTTCTAAATTTGTACTCAGGACATCTGAGGAAATGGGCTATGACATTTTCTTTCTAATCATTTTTGGGATAGGCATGGCTCTATCAATGTGACTGATTTCAAGTCAAGCTGGCGAAGTGGGCTGCCTTTTTTAGCCATCATCCAAACCTTGCGACCAGGTCTAGTTGATTTGGAGAAGGCAAAAGCTAGAAGCAATAAAGAAAACCTGAAGGAAGCTTTCAGAATTGCAGAACTGGAGCTGAATATTCCACGGCTTCTTGAACCTGAAGGTAAATGATCTGCTTTTTTAAAATCTTTGTTATCAGGAGTGAGATTAATATAATCCTATATGTGTTGACTTGTAATACAGGAAAAAGTAAGACTGTGCTTAAGTTTGAAACGGAACATTGATCTTTACTGTAATGCTGAAACCTGAGGTTCTTTGTTTTATTACACCGACTGTACTTAGGACTTGTAGGATTTTTGAATTGGCAGCAAATGCAGGAACAATATGGAGAAGAAAGGATATGAAACTTTCCTGTTCGTGGGAGAAACTTTTTCATTAGTTAATCATGTTATATTAAAATATTCCCAAGGAAAAAAATGTTCATTACATATTAATTTCTGTCAATGGTATGTTAACTGAGCTGCTGCAAAATAAACATGTTTATGGTAATGTGTTTTAATAACTGCAGTATAGCGTGTAATTATGTGATCAGGCCTGGAGGCTGCATCATTATGTAAATTGTGTATTGGCTCTTGTAGATGTTGACATTATGAATCCAGATGAAAAATCAATCATGACTTACGTGGCTCAGTTTTTACAATACTCCAGGAATTTGTGTGAGTCTGAAGAAGACATGCAGGTATGTCATGTGGTTTATCACTGAGGCATTTTCAAATGAATGTGCATCACGGATGCCAAGGATATCAGTATTTTCTTTGCCCAGTTTATAACCTGGCTCAGTAACAGTTAGATAGTAGATCTTCTGATTCAGCTACTGACAGGGCTGAATTGGCTTGAACCTTCTGATGCTTCTGTGTGGTAGTCAAGACTCAATGTGGTAGATTTTTGATGATACAGGTGGAATTTCTGTGTAGGTTGTCTTATTTTTTCATTTAACTGTTACAGAGAACATCTGCAACCCTGGTTGTCTTCATCCGTGCTGTGAAGTCTGCATGTAAATATTGGGGCAGAGGCAGACAGATTTGCAACTGTGCAGAACAACCCAGCTTTAAATTTAATAGCACATGTAAAATAGACAGAATTTGTCACTCATAGATCATACGGGTTGGAAAACCAAGTTTTCTGTTCTCTGTATTCTCCTATAAGAGTTTATGTATTATTTGATTAGTCACATACCTCCATAGTGATAATCTCCTTTCAGTAGGACTGCAATCAGGCTCTTTAAGATTTAAACGTTTAAAACTTTGGTTTTGCTTTAGAATAGTGCCTGACCCAAAACTCAGTATACTGAGTCCCCAGGAGTTATTATTTGTTTCTCAATAGCTTTGAACAGGGTTTATCATACACTCGATGTGTGACGTTTTATGGCACAACGTAAATTAAAAACAAGGCTTGCAAAATGGAAAGATGAAATTTTCTGCTCCAATTATCAGGAAAAAGTAAGAGAAGCCGTGAGCTGGTTGGCTGCACAGGAGAAGAAGTTAGCAAAGTTGCTGATCGACACAGAGAATGAAACATATTACCAGAAGTACAAAGTAAGTTGCATTGCATATTTAACTGCTTCTGCAAAATGAAATATTAAAAATATTCCCAGAAATATATCTTTTCATCTTCATTGCCTAAACTGAAGAGTTAAATAAACTTTTAAACAAGAGTTGGAAATCTCATAATGAATGTGGTAAATGCCCTCAAATGGTTGAGGTAAGGATAGGATGAAATTCCTTCTATTAGGAAACAGATATATGCTGCTTGGCTTCTGAGCAGAGCAAGCTTTTTTGAAGAGAGTAAAGTAGTGTCTTTTGATTAATTGACATAGTTGACAACTTGCACAAGATTCAAGCACATAGGCCCTTTACAGGGTCACCTTCGCCATTTCTGTGATAATAACAACAGTAGGTTTTACCCGACTGATGGTGTAGAGGAGTAGTTAAAATGTTGGCTATAGATTGTGCCTGAAGTAAAATTTCCTTTGGTTTATATTGTAGCCAGAGTTTGTAATAAAATGGCCCATGGGGGACTGTGAGGGGAGGAATTTTCCCTTTCTCTTGGTGGGAGGGGAGAACCATGTCCTGACTGCACTGACATTATATTAAATACAGATTTTGCTAGTGAGTGGCACCTATAATTTCAGACCCAAACACTGCCTGAAGACAAGTATGCCTCTTTCCTGCTATCTTGCCTTTCTGTGCATCACACCCTTTGAAGTTAATGGAAGGTATACCAATGTGTTCAAAGGCAGTACTTGGCTCCATGAGCTTCCATCTGAAGTCTTCTTCTATGAATTACTCTTCCTTCTTATCCTTAGGAAATGATGTCATTTTTGGAAGTATTTAACCAAGAAAAAAAAACCTTTCTGCCTGTATTGTTATCAAAAATAAGTGAAGCTGAGCTGAACGAAGGCCAGCAGCAGATGAGAGAAGAGTGGGATAAACTGATCTCTCAGGTCAGAGGCATTTCTAGCTCACCTTATTACCAGCATGAGTGTGTTTGATGAAGAAGCCTAAGCCTACCCCAGTAACTCACACACGGAAAAATGGGGAGGTGATACTTCATTTGGATTGATAAAAGAAATATTGAGCCTGAACCTGAAGTTCAGACAAAGTGAGTGGTGTACAGTGCCCAAGAATAGGCAGAAGGTGACTCTGTATTACTCTTCTGCCTCTTGAGCCTCAGGACTGTGAGACATTTGAGAAAAATGGCCTGCATCTGATTATCTTTGAGCACTCCTCTGATGAAAGTTTTTGGCCTATTTATGCTTAAAAGGTTCTTTTGGGACATAATTATGGCTCAGATAATGATGCAGCTGGGAAAAGTGTGTTAATATATTCTTTCCCATGGAACGGATAGTGATACAGAGAGATCTCGCTGGTCAGTGCTTTGCAAAGGGGTTGGCTGTGTTGTCTCCCTCTGCCGCAAGTAGGGATGTATTGGGCTTTGCTGTTAATTGCTCTGTATGGAAGAGATGTTCCCCTGTCAGCCCTGTGATGGAAAGCTGTCCAGAGCATCCCCGTTTCCCCTCTATTTTGCAACTAATGTATTATAAATTTCCCTGTTGCTGGGCCTTGAGATGGTCACCAGCCAAGGATAGTAACTGCCAAAGTCTCTGTAGTGTTACAGAGATTACAGGCTGGGGAACAAATCTGGGTCTCAGGTAAACATAGCTGATTTGCAGCTGACTTCACTGGAAGCTCCTTTTCTGAATAGTGACAGGTGGGTTTTTTTACTGGGATGTCTGGAGCACTAGCTTACGGAGCATGTATCAGTATCTTGGGGATGGGGAAGAAAGTAATGGTGAGAAATTTAATCACTTATTTTCCTTTTTAAGATTAATGAATGGAAGGTGAAGCTGGACGAGATGTTGCCCTCTCCTCTAGATAGCATTGAGGCCTGGCTTCAGGAGGTGGAACATCTGCAGGCAGAAGATTTGCCTGATTTGCAGGACCCGTTTAAATCAATGTTTGTCTTCAGAGAAATAATTGTAATATTTAAGGTATGCTAATCACAAAGGAACATTCTGCTTTAGTCTGACCTACCAAAGCACTTGTTATGGAATTGCTATTTGACATTTTGGGAAGTGAGGTGGATATGTTTATCTTCTGAAGATTAAAAGCTCTTCTGAACATACCTTTGAACAATAATGAGTTTAATTAAATAACTGCATGGGTCTATAAGGAAGGTTTCTGACTTCACTGGAGTGAGATTACGTTTGAGTACTATCTGAATGAGTAAATTATGGTATTCTTTTTTATGTGGTTCCTGCAACTTGTTTGTTTGTTAAGTAATAACACAGGGTAATTGCATCCTTATCTTTAAATCTATGCTTAATGCATACCTATTCAGAAAAGCACTTGGTCTCAGCGTTACATTCCAGTGAGTTCAGGTAGTTTCTGTGTTTAAAGTTAAGTGTTTGCTGAATCACTCTGTAATTCCATTAAAAGCAATGGGAGGTACTTTGATAGCTCTCTACCACGCAAGTTATTTGTACTGATCTTGAGATCTTTATACTGATAGTAGTTTAAACATCCTTTTGAGTTTGAAAACTTTACAAAGAGTTATGTGTTGATGCCTGGTTGATCATCATAATGCTGTACTTGATTTTTTAATGAACAAAGGGGAAGTTGCATGTTTTTGTGACACGTCCTTAAAGAGAATTTGAAATAATGGGAAATGGAGCTCCTTGTGAGTGGCTTGGTAACACCACTTTTTTGTACTGTTGCTAGTCAGTTCCTCATGAGGGATAGCTTTTAATTGATAGCACTTGCCAGACTTTAGCCTAAGTAGTTAAAGCATTTCCAAGAATGAGACAAAGAGACAGATGTCATTGTTTTAGGAGTTTCTTTTTTCCCATTGAACATACAGATAAAATCATTAAGTTCCTTAAGAAGAAGTAACCCAAGATTCTTAATTTCTGTCAAATTCACTTTTCCTGATGGGAAGACTTCCCGCTGAGAATCTTTTTCCCTTTCTTTCCTCTAGTCAGTCCTTTTAGTATGTCTCATGTAGGGATCTTCTTGCCAAGGTGGTGCCTTATAATGGAAATTTTACATTTTCTTAAGATCTAGGAAATTGCCCACCAGTGCTCATAACTGTCTGACTAGAATAGTATTAAGGTTACAAAATCAAGTGTTTAAAATCTGTGCACTATTTTTGCAGTAGAGGGCTGCCCCAGGATTTAGCCATTTCCATTAACACGCTTTGTGGCAGCTTTTATGACATAAAAATGAACTTTTAGCGTATTTCTTTATATGCCACTTTACGAATATGCTTATATTCTGTGCACTGCATTTTAAGTTTTATTGTTACATAGGGAATTTGGTGCTGAGACACATGCCTGTAAAATATTCCCAATCATGTGATACTGGCAATGAGAGGGTTAATGTGATATGCTGTCAGTGTGGTGTTAGATGGAAATTTACTGAGCAGTCAAACGAAGTATTAAGCAAGTATGACATAATAGGTTTAGTCAACAGGTTTTGCTGTCAGCCTTTGCTAACACACAGCAAAGAACAACTTAATATCCTGGAACTGTTACGATGACACTTTTTTGTTCTAAAGATGAGAGTGAAAGAGCAGAAAAAATTGATAGTATGGGTAGTGTAGATTCATGTTCTTTATATTTAACTAGATGCACTGTGATAAGAGAAATCAGGTAGTACTGCACTAAATATGCACTTTAGAAGTGATGAGATAAATACTTTCATTGCACTTTACTGAGTAAAGACACTGGAAGATTGTCTTATGCTGACTATTTCTTAATAGCTCTCACCCTAATAGCAGGTGACTTGCAGATTCCCAGATTAAATACTCTAGAATTAAAATGAATGTCTTATTCTCCCTAGGGTTTGATGGATTGTTTTGATTATCACTTGGACACCCTTCAATCATTTAAGAATGAAGATGAGAAGAATATGCCACTAGTCATGCCTGAAAAGTTAGAGGAAATGAAAAGAAGGTTGTGATCCTCCAATTCCCTCTACTTTGACTATGTTGTGTTCTAGCTCTGCTGTTGACTTGCTCTGCTATTCTGAACAAAGCACATAATTTATCCAAGCCTTGCAGAAAAAGAGCATTTGCCACCTAAGCGCAGGTTGACTGCCAAGTAGAGCAGGCAGGTTCACTCACTGGTTCCAATGAATGTCTTAATTATGTGTACAAAGTAGAGCTCGTTAACAAGACCTTTTCAGATGCCCTTTGCTGGTGTGGATAGGAAATGCCCACTAGGGATAGGAAACATGAATATTTGGAATGTAAACATTTCTCTGGGAGTGGAGATTCTCTAATTTTTAATTTAGAAAATGTAATTTTCTAATTTTAAAATCACTGAGATCTACAGGTTGTATAGCCCCATATATCTGTTGGAGAGTATTTGCAAAAATGACCAGTGAATCTGTGTCCATAACCTGAGATACTTTGACATACAGATGGCATATGACCCTTTTCTGGGCATTTAAGTTTTTTCATAAATTGAGCCATCAAGATTGACTCAAAATTGTTGCTACTTACAATTTTGTTGTTATCTTAAAATTTTACTCCTGTCATAACAAAATAATGTTTATATATTATATATATAGTTCTGAGTTTTTAGGCTAAAAACCTTACATATTAATGCCTTCTCCATCCAATGATTTTGAGTCAACTTTTGCAACATATCACTGTTTGCAGATTCAGCAATATTCGTTTCACAAACTCCAACACCTTTCTTGAATACCACTATGGACTCTGCACAGCTATTGCTAATGAACTGATGTTAAAGCTAAATATTTGGGACATGAAATATGGGACAAAAGAATCAGTGGAATCACTGCTGGAAAATTGGAATGTAAGTTTAAATATTTGTATCACACCCTGACAATAATTCTTCTTCGTCACCTCTCTTTGATTCAAGTTTGTGTCTGTCCTCATCTGAAGATACTGCAATAGTTGGTAGAAGCATGGTAGACTTGTGAGGTTCGGGATTTATGCAAAGGAGGACAGGTAGACTTCCACAGAAGCTTTCCTCCCCCCGCCACGTCTTCCCATTTTGCTCTGAATGCGAGTTCTTTCTTCATTTTGGAGAAATAGAATGACCTGTGACTGTAATTTTCTCTCTTCCCTTTTTTATTCTTTATTGGGAAGATTTCTTTTTTTCTAGACTGTTTATAGAGCCAGCAGTAGCAGCCCTTCCATAGCTCAAATCCACACAAACCTATCCGGGGTAGTTTAGTAGTTGCTATCTTCAAAAACAACCATTACCCTCGGTGCTGGCTAATCTGCCTTTGGCTGTGGCCCTCTCCTTTTCCCAGCTTCCTTACCTTCTTATGCTTCACGGTGAACGTGAATTGTCTTGTTCTGTTCCGTTTTGTGCTTAGCTCAGCTTCTTGGCTAAAGTTTTGAAAATGATGCCACATGTAGGCCATATAGGAGGGGATGGCTTACCCTACCCCAAATACTGACAAAGAATACTGCATCAAGAATAGAGGCAGAGAGATGAAAATGCTGATGCCAAAAATTTTGCCACATCTCCAGTTAATGGGACTCCTTCTGAGTTCCATCTTAGTGGAGTTTCTAAAGAGTTTCTCAGAAGCTTTTCAGACTGGCAAATCCCTGGTTAAATTAGTGGGAATTTCACCAGCATCAGAACTGTGGAAGGAGGCAACAAGAGGTTGTATAAAAAAAACAGTTTTGCTGGGCAGTATGAACCTTAGCCTGTGGTGAGATGGGAGTACAGAGTTATTCTGCACTGAGTTTCTTGATTCAGTTGGTTTCATAAATAGTTGTTATTTCTCCAACTGTGGTTCATGGTCTTTCTCAAGCTGATAGAATACAGAGCTTTCTCAAGGAGTTTAAGGCTTGTCGCCAGCTCTCCTTCTGGTCCCATGATGTGCAGTCCTGGCTGAGTGGTGGTATAGTGGCCCACATTTGTCATGGCCACAGGAGAGGTGGTTTTGTAGCCTGCTAGATAGGATGTTTATAGGAGTGGGGTGAGATGCATCTCTCTGGGGTGAGATGCAGCTCAGGCAGAGAGGGGCTGAGGATCAACCCTCATTCCCTGCATGAATATTGAAAGCACAACTCCCCATATCTACTCCCATTTCTTCCTCTCTCACCCTTTCCATCCCCAGTTTGGATCTTACTTGATCTGTGGCAGGAGCTAGGCACATCGATATTTCTGTGCATGCAGGGAAATCCACCTTTCACTTTCATCACTTTTTTGACTTATGTGACTAAATTCTGCCTGACTTGTTCTCGAAGCCATGTCTCAATATTGCCCTAGGGCTGTAACTTTTTGAAGTAAGCAGTCCTGACTCATGCAGGGCTGTGACTCAGGCAATGGCATTCAGGAATTAATACCCCCATTTAAGTTACTCTCCGCACGGGCAGAAAAAAGAACAGGTCTGTTTCAGACTAAAGGGTGCAGATGAGTTGCTGGATAGGCTTTGCTCAGTTGACATTTAACCTGTAGGTTATAGCCTCATATTTAAAAAAATGTATCCCAAGCTGCATTTCCTACCTAGTTTATTAGGTTAGTGTTACCCATGCCATACTTTTCACTTTGGGCAGAATTTCATTGAAGAAAAGAGGCTTGAAACGCAACTAGAAACTGCTACTCACATCTGTGAAGATTTGAAAAACAAAAACATAAGCGGTCCTGACTTAGGTAAGTTTGTGCACAGAAACTGATGTGAAGACCTCTATTTTGAAGTGATGTGCTGTCACCAGTTTTAATTCCCACTTATGTTTTGTGTAAAATAACCTCTCTGTTTCCAAACGTATAATGATACTCCCTATTTGATGTCCTAGCTGGAGATCCTCAAAAACTTTTTAAGACAGTGGAATCAAAGATTTCTATGTGCAGAGACTATATTTCCAATGTAAATGCCACCCTACAGAAAGTCCTGTCTTCCTGGAGTACTTATACAGAAAACATCCACTTACTAAAGATGTGGCTGGAAGAAAAACGAAATGAGCAGCCGAAAGAGGTATGTGGGTGGGTTTCTCTTTGTAATGACAGAGGTTGGAAGCCTCCTGGAGGGAAAACATTATACATGACAGTGGTTGTTGTTGTTGCTTTTCTGTTCCTCATTTCGGAAATAAACTTTTGGCAGGGTTCTGCTTTACGTGATTTCAATGCCTCTGTCTAGATCCCTGCTGAGATCCTGGCAAAGTGGAATTCAGTTCATGGTTCCTTAAATGAAGCTGGAAACTATCTCATCGAAGTCAGCAAAGAGCAAGTTGGATCAAATATTGCCAAAGAGCTGAAGAAACTGAACAGGAGATGGGCTAAGTTCATCAAGAGGACACACTTTGTAAGTTACTAGTTTCATGTGACTCTTTTGCTATGCAGTCTTCAAAGTAGTATTCTAGACAATAGCTTGCTAATCAGAGGTTAACAAATCTTTCAGTCAACTCAGTATTGCCAGTTTTAAAACTGGAGGAACAGAGAATACACAGAGGCATCTCATTCTTAAGTCTCTGTGACTCAGTTAAATGCTCTTTATGACACAATGGAAAATATTCAATTTTTAAGTGGAAATTTTAAAACCACTTATAAAAGGAAATCTTATTGCAGGATAAAACTCTTTATTCAGTTCTAGAGATGGGAGTAATCAATTTAAGAGCTTGTGAGCCTTTGCTAAACTGTATAATCTCCACCTCAGCTAGTAGAAAGTAATTATTGCTGCATATTTCTAGGGTTGTGCAACTTTACACCAGCTCACTTGACAGGTTTTTAGGCTGCTGTAAATTCCTATACAACCTGCTTAAAGTTTCACATGTTACATTTCCTAGAGTGCTTTCACAAGCATGACACTTTCACTCTGCCTGGGAATATTAGAGCTCTGAATTTTCTGAGTTGAGCCTTTCATTGACATTTATTAAAGGTACTGCTGTGACAATAAACGGCACCAAAAAATTACAACTTTTTTGTAGGTGATGAGATTAATGTGAATTCAAGAAGATCGAAGGAAACATGTTCCCAAGAGTGAGGGAAATCCAGAGTTTCCTAGAAAAAGCCATAGTAAGAGATGCTTTTAGGAAATATATTCAGAAAACAGAGATAAAGAGGCCTCTTGCACACTTACCAAGGGCTTATGGACCTCGGGAGTTATTTTTCTGGCATTGCTTTGAACATTATGGCTATAATGTATATTATATTTATTTTTATATATAAAAAGGCAACAGCAAATGCTTGAGCTCTGGCCTGTGACTGCCAGTACCATTAAACTGTTAGCATGCTCCCTGGTCTTGATTTAACCAACACCAGCTATCACTCTCTTGGACAATTCCCTGGCTTAGCCTGGGGGATGCTGCAGCCCAGGAGTTACTCTCCATAGTAGTGCGTCTGTTGCTGCTTGCTTATAGGGGAGGGGGTGGACCAATGGACGCAGGTTGTACTGTCCCACCTGCTCTCAGGCTTCTCAGGAAGAACTGAGCCTCACATGGTTTATTTACCAGTATGCTTGGCATTTATTTCTCCTTCGATCCCTGTTGGGTGCAAAAGCTGGAAAGTAGCCTAAGTAGTGACTGTGTGTTGCAGGAGGGTAGTGGAGAGAGCTGTGAACCGATGACTGGTATGAACATCTTACGCTGCTCTTTGTTTATAGCTTGGTGAAGAGAGCACGAATGCTGCTGAAAAAACCAGGGAGCTTCCAGGGAGCCTGGAGAAAATTGAAGAGCTCCTTGGAGGGGTGGACAGTTGGGTAGCGGAGATTGGACGCCTGCTTGGCAAGATCAGTCATGAGGGGCCTGTGGAACCTGAGACAGAGGAGCATTTGCAGGTGAAAATGGAAATACACTGCTTAAAATACTTGTTCATCAGATTCTTATCTTTCAGCATAGGTCTGTTGCTGAGGTAAAATGAGTCGTCATCAGTGAAGCAGAAATGAATGTGGATTTTGTGCTGTAACACTGGTAAAAAGTCAAGGCAATGCTAGTATTTTTATGTTGTTTCCCAGGATTGCTCCCAGATGAGTTATAAATGAATCTTGCAACATGAGCATGTCCAGATGACAAGCAGGTGCCAATGGAGCCAGTGATCAGCATCTTGCTCTTGAGTGATATTTACTCTCTGTCCAGCACAGCATTCACAGCAGACTAAAACTCTGCAAGGTGCCGAGTTGAGAATTTCCCCTGATCATACAGTGCTTTTTATCATCTACCCTGCAGTGCAGGGAGGAGGTTTGGGACAACCTAGCTGTGTTCAAGACTTACCTGTCAAAAACTGGAATACTTGAAGTATTTTTAGCAGCGTGCTGGGTAATTTGTGCATCTCAGCTTATAGGCAGTTGCTCTAAACATCCACAGTGAGCACTGATGAATTTCTTGTTACTTCCACTAGTCTCTATTGTTTCCCATGTCTGTCTGCCAAGGATTACTGTTTTTCCCCCGCAGCAGATGGCAGGTGGAAATATGTATATGTAATGCAGCAGGTTCAGTACAAAGTTTCATTGGAGCTCTTCTGCCTAAGAGACAAAATTAAAGAGATTTTCTTTGGTACTTTAAATCCACCTACAATAACTGTGAACCGGAATTAGTGTTGGTGTACTCTTGGTTTGTGCCTTCTTGCACTGTGTTTAGTTGACAGAATTAGGAGTGTGAGCCTATGAAAAGGATCTATTCATCTTTTTGTAATTGTGGGCATATGTTTATAAAATAGATCTCATTTTGCAGTGTGGCACTAATTTGTTAAAAACAACAAAGTAACAAAAGACACCCTGAAATGCAGCCTCCAAAAATGTGACTGGTATTGTCTCTCCATGTCTGAGCAGGAGAGATCAGGTCGCTTATTACCTGAGGTACAATAGCTTGAGATCCAGAATAAAGCACTGCTTATCATTAGAAGAATGCTAACTGACAACTTCAAACAGGAAAACCTGTTGAATATTCATAGATCAAAACAGCTCTAATAATGATATTTCTTGATAAATATTCAAATATGGCACAGTACTTTTGCATGCAAAATACCCAGCTGCTTCCTGCCTTTTAGTACTGAATACTGCACAAAAATCTAAGCCTTGATATGTGCTTACTTTTGGATGACTTCATGATCAGATGATGCATATCCAAATGTGTGGTTTGTACACTCATTTGGAAAGCTGTTTCGATGGGAGTGTGTGTTTAAAAAATACTTCTAATTGGCTCCAAGGCAAAGACATGGGAGGTGTCAGTGACAGAAAGACTGTTTCAGCTAAGAAAATCCCCTGTGGATGGCAGCAAATTTCTTTCTCTTTACATAGAGATTTTGCAGTGCAATACACTGACCATAACTGAAATACAAGATTTTTCCTTGACCAAATATTGACCATCCATGATCAATGCTGGCTTCTTCATTCATTTCCTTTAAACAAAAAAGACATAAATACTGTACGGGCTTCTAATGCTTTTCATTCAACCAGAGCTTATCTGCAAGGGGAACCTCATACCGAGAACAAGTTGTGGCAGCAGAAGAGATATTGCAGTCCCTGATGCAAAATGTTTCAAATCAGGTGTCCCAACAGCATTCTCACGCCACTGGGTTACAGGCACGAATTAAAGAAGCCAGAGACAAAATAGAGGTACTCCTTTTTTATTGTTATTGTACTTTATACACACAGATGTCTCTAATTTTAGCACCATGTGATTAGGAAGACTCCTTTTTTATTCATGTAAAATAAAAAAGGGTTTATACTGTTGGAATCAATCTCCCAGATTCTTGCCAGGGCAAAAACTAGAACATTTCAAAGATCACTATCTCAACTCGAAAAACTTGAGTGATGTTATGAAGCAATACCTTCATGTAATTACTGATACTCTGGCATGTTCTGAAAAGCATCTCTTTTTTCCAAGGCTGTCATGGGTGACATGAACAACGTCTTCTCCAAATCTGAGAAGAGACCTGCAGAGAAGGCGGCTTTGCTCAATTTTGAAGAATCCCAGAAAAAACTTGAGGCCTCCATTTCAAAGGCTGTGCAACTTGTCAGTCAAAAATTAAGTCCTGAAGAATGTATTTCAAGATACGAGGTGGGTTTGTTTTCTGAGACAGCTGAATTTGAGTATTTCTTAGTACTATTTAGTATCTGAAAGGCTAAGGTATCACAGTGGGAAAAAGATGAGATTTTTTTTTTTTTTTGGTGGCTATTAATGCTTTTCTCAGCTTTTTGATTTAGCAGTGTTAGCATATATTAACTTGGCAGACAGCTTTAAATGAAGAAATATAAATCTGTATGGCAGTTTATTCAGTCTTAATTTAAATTACTCCATCATCCTGTCAGAACTCACCATGTCCTGAACTACAGCCATTTTTTTTGCCTGATTACTAATTAAGATTCCCATCAAGAATCACATGCCTGAATTCTTTGACAGGTTTTTTAAAGCATGATTATAAATACTGAATCTCCTCCTCCCAGTGGCTAACTGGTAAAGAAAGTGTCCGATCTCAAAATCTGGTTCTCCTAAAGGGATCCTTAGTGAGGTACTGCAAATGGAAGTGCCCAAAATCTGTGTGGCCTCATCTTTGCACAGTGAGGCCTGGGCAGCTGTGGGCCAGGAGCAGTGCAGAGCCTCACTCCAGGCCATCTCATAGGGTCTCATCGGGCCGGTGCATACCTTTCACCTGTTCTCTGACAGGCATGGGATATGGCCACATACATTCACTAGAAACGAAGCAGAGTTCAGGGACTTTAATCTTTCTTCTTTGGTACCAAATTTGCCCCTAAAAGAGGAGTTACAAGAACAATATCTGCTTTCCTCCAAAAAGCATATGGTGATACTGTCTGCAACCTTTTGCAGATATGCGAGGGTGGAGAATGCCCTCATACTCATCCACGCAAGGATCATCACAGCCCATACATGCAACGTGTACGTGCTTTATGCATGTTTTTTTTAAGCTACGGATGGCTTTTTATTAGGTAAATAATCTACACTCAGTTCTGTTTATTTTTCATTATTCTTTTCTTGCAGGAAGCTTTTAATGCACTGGACAATGAAGCTCTTGACAAATTTTTGAAAGCAGCTGAACAACTGAAAAGTATTTCATCTGATCGTGAAAAGCTGGTAGTGGAAGAAAAGAGTAAAGATGTTCGTAAAAGATGGGAGGTGAGATAATGTAGGAAGGAGAATCTACTGTCTATTCTCATTAGGCCTGGCATCTTTGAAAAACAATTTTTTTTGTCACAATATGTTCCAAAGTTGTTTTTTTTTATTTGCTTTGTAATATTGTTTCACCATCTCACAGGGATAATGTGTTTTGAATTTTGCAGGCAGTTCATCATGAAATTATATCCTGTGTCCAGCTCATAGTAGAAAGGGAAAAAAAGAAATTTAATGCAACTTTAAAAAAAATGAATAAGCAATTAGGCAAAGAGAAGAAACTCCTAAATACAGATAAAACCAAAGGTCTCATCAAGGAACATGAGGTACCTGCCACACTTGTTTTCTGCTCACCTACCTCTCTTTGTGAATACATTTCCTGTCCTTCTTGCTCCTTTTTAGGTATCTTACTGCAGCCTGTGTTTGTGGAACAGGGCCCTTGTGCTTTATGTTATGTAAACACAGAACAAAGAGGCCACCCAAATAATTTCTTTACCTTTTTGACTGCAGTTATTAGCTTCCTTGCAGACTGTTAGAATTAACTCCTCCTTACATGGATGGTATCTTTTTTCCATTTTTTTTAAAGACAGTCTTGAAGCATTAAAACAGATTTAGCTGTGCAAAGTGTAAAAATAAGAAATGATTATGTGTTCTGTGACTCCCTTGATTTGTTATAGTTGCATAGACGGTGTTAGATGCCTTCAGACGAGAGTATCTTCTCACAGTGCAATAGCCACACTTTACCTCTGTGTTTGTGCTGTATATAAATTACCACAGAGTTAGACATAGGACTTTCATGTTTCACTTGCCAGGGTGAGCCATGATGAATCTTATATATTCCATAAGCAATGGGTTTTACACTTCATTGCTTCTAGCATTTTCCTTCATCCTCCTCTTTGAGATGCATTGCTGTGTCCGGTTTACCACTTATAAGGGTAAGAGATTGCTCTCCTGATGAAATTCTGGTCTTCACTGAATTCAGTGGAGTTTTAGTCGTTGCTTCTCATGGATTTATGCTCAGCAAATATTACATATGCAAGAGTAAAGAGAAATAAGCATTCTCAGGTGTATTCTTTCTGCTCATATTTTTGTTACATTTTTAGTTTATCTTGATTTCACCCTAGAAAGTACAATTATTGACAGGAAATATTTTAAATATATTTTCCGATTCTATTTTTTCTGTAGTCAATGGGACATGTATATCTGGTGTCACTGTGGACAGGACTTGGGACCAAGAGTAGCTAAAATTGCAGTAACATAATGAATTTCAAAATCAAGCAAGAGCCAGTATAGTCTTGTGAATGCTGCTGGGGAACATGTTGCCAGAAATCCTAATTTTTTTCCTGACTCTATTTGAAAAAGAATCAATGGAAAATAAATGTTTCTCTCTTGGTTTGACAGCTTACGCTTTAAGTGCACTCATCCAAGAGTACAAGGGAAGTAGAAAAAAAGTATGAGAATAATTGCATATCCTTATGACTTAATGTAAGTTTATTGTATTGTTTTTCTTTCTTTAGGCCTTTTTTTCACATGAAGGCAGCCTGAGGGAGCTTAGCAAGTCATTAGAAGACCTTAAAATATTGGGAAGACTATCAGAAGAAACTGTCCCAGGCATACAGACACTGACTGCAGACTGTGAACAAAAGCTAGAAAAGCTTCAACAAATGGTGGCAGATACTTACACGGCCCTGCTGTCTCATGCTGGAAAAGGACAGTCATCTGTGAAAGAGTGGGTGACTGAATGCATGATGTGTTGTAGGTTCATAGAAATCAGATGTATGGATAAATTTTGTGATATTGTAAATGTGCTACTGAGTATGTTATTATGTACATTACTATGGGCAACTGTACATTTAAAAATTCAGTATTAATTTTCATAAACTAGCAAGTACAATGTTTGATTGCCCTTCATCACAGCTGCACTTTTTTTTATCATTAGCCAGGATTTCTTTTTTTTCCCCTTTGTGTTTCATATTTTGTTCTTATGTTGAAATGTCTTTTAAACCATAGGAGCTCCATTGTTGCTTCTGAGAATGGGGAAGAGCCTGGTTCTTCTCAAGAAATTGATACCCTTTCAGTACAGGAGGTAAGAAGTGCTCTGTCTAGGGGAGATCATTGGCAAAAGAAAAAAAATTATTATTTCTGTTACTATTCTTATTGTGGTAAGACCTCAGGCCTCTGGTCAGACATCAAAAACCCATTGCGCTTGGGAACATAGACGAAGTAAATATTAAAAACTAACATGCACGGAAAAGCACTGGTCATCCCAAGGAGATGTGAGTCTCCAACCTTTTGTTAGGTTTTGCTGAAGAGTGGGTTTCAGCTGGAAGAGTCACGTGTGAGGCTGTGTTCAAGTGCAAATCCCCGTAGTATCTCAGTAATTTGAACAAGTTTCAGAGGACAGAGAAAGGAAAAATAGTGAAGAGTTGGAGGCATTTGCTTTAGAAAAATATATGGAAAACCAGAACACATATAACTTCTTCAAAATAATTTCAGAGGGACAAGATACTGCAGTTCATCATTTGGATGCCACAGAAGATGTCTCATTTATGATAAACATTCAAAAAAAGTAAGGCTGTTGGCAGCTTATCAGACAGGCTCGACTGGTGACTTACAGGAGGGACCCATTGTATTTACATGAAGTTTGAAGATATGTAGGAATGGCTATTATCAAGGGAGATTTTTTGTAAGGCTGTTAATATTGTCCCTGATAGAATGATGAAATCTGTTCTCTCATGGATCATCAGAGTATGAAGTGTGCGAGGCCACACCTTGAACACTGTGTTCAGTTTTGGGCCCCTCACTACAAGAAGGATGCTGAGGTGTTGGAGCGTGTCCAGCAAAGGGCAACGAAGCTGGTGAGGGATCTGGAGCACAAGTCTGATGAGGAGCGGCTGAGGAACTGGACTTGTTCAGTCTGGAGAAGAGGAGGCTGAGGGGAGACCTTACCGCTCTCTACAACTACCTAAAAGGGGGTTGTGGTGAGGTGGGTGTTGGTCTCTTCTCCCAAGTAACCACTGATAGGACGAGAGGAAATGGCCTCAAGTTGTGCCAGGGGAGGTTTAGACTGGATATTAGGAAAAATTTCTTCACCGAGAGAGTGATCAAGCATTGGAACAGGCTGCCCAGGGAGGTGGTAGAGTCGCCATCACTGGAAGCATTCAAAAAATGTGTGGATGTGGCGCTTTGGGACATGGTTTAGGGGGCACGGTGGTGTTTGGTTAACAGTTGGACTTGATGATCTTGAAGGTCCTTTCCAACCTTATAATGATTCTGTGATTCTGTGAATTAACGTCAGACAGCCTCAGACTGAAGATTAGAGTATATCCTGGAATCAAGGGCAAGAGACATGCAAAGGCATCTGATATAAGCAGCTTGACAAAAGCTGAAGACAGTGCCCTGGGGTTGCCCGAGGATGTCCATGGAGCCGCAACAAAAATTTACACAAGTAGATTGTGCTTGCCAAAGACCCAGTATCTCTGGAAGGAATGAATGACCTGACTGCAAGTGTTCAAAAATTTGCTTTTTTGGTTCATGATTGAGTTTAAACACATCTTGTATTCATGAATGGTATCTCTCATCTCCTTGGGGACACATGAAGCAATTGTTTCTTTCCAGAGTTCACAGATGTCTGTTAGTCTTCACTGTGTATTGACACAGCGTGATGCAGACGTTATTGTTACCTTTTTTTATTTTTACTTAGACCTCAAGACCTGCTGCAGATATAATTTTGGAACCAGATGTGAAACATCACAATGGAGAAAGCTATGCAAAGAAATTTGAGGAAAACAGTGATTTGCCCATACCAGCTTTATTAGAGAGGTAATTTTTAAAAGATGTAGTGCATGTATATTGAGATGATAAGACATTCATAAATTATTCTAATGTATTGAACACAGGGTGTACTTCTGCTATGCAGGACTCTGTTCTTTTTCTACTACAGTTTACTTTAAGATTACAGTTACTTTTTTTTAATTGATAAGGAAGCACTATTGGAGCAAATGCTTCAAACTTTAGGATTTTGTAGTAGGAACACTTAGAGATAGAAAACTTTTTCTTCTGCTCTTTTAGTGGGCCAGAAAAATCTGTATCTGCCTTACTAATAAATTCAAATATTGCAAAGTAAAAAAAAGTGTCAAGTTTTTAAAGAACTAACATTTTTACGTTCATAAAACTGAATTTAGAGATTGCAGGCATTCATACTTGAAAATCAGCCAGGTGAGCAATTTCTCAGCTCTCTTATATGTTGCTCATTTATGCCTATTCATTTGGGAGTTATGTAGAAATCTGCATTTGCAGTAGACTCTACTTATTTTATATGGTAATCTATTGGTCAGCAGGTCCCATCCCCTGCCATGTTCCAGTAAAATAGAAATAATATTATCTCTGAAAGTGATTGCATCTTTTTTTAGCTATAACACACAAAGAAGTAACCTGGAGGAATTTTTGCACATCAGCAGAGATAAAGTAGCATCTGGCTTTACAGATGAAATAAAAGGCACTTCATGCCTTCAGAATAAGATGCTTGAACTACAGGTAAGTATTCATTTTTTAAAAACATACTTGGCACGTAATATGTTATTTTCTCATGTAGAGCCCTCACCTCTCTGTTATGTGTATTGCCAAGGGAAAAGGAACATCCTTACAACCAGGTTTATTAGAAGTAGAAGGGAAATCAAGGGTTTAGCATTCAGCAGAACTGCATTCTTACTTAGCAATGGAGTTCTGCAAGTGTTGCTGAAAGAAGAAATTGGTGGCTCTCAACCTGCAGTGATCTGTGGGCTGAAACAGGTCTAATGGAAAAAATAACTACAGAAAGCAGCTTTTTTGTTAGCAGGAGTGGTAAATGATGGACCATGGTCAGGGCTGAAGGAGTCATCAGGGTTGAACGATCAAATGGCAGTAATGTGCAGAATGAAACTGTTCCAGGACTTATAACTTGATTAGGTTTGTGAGAACCTCGAGGGGATGATAAAAGGCACATAACTGGTGTTGGAGAATTTATTACTGCAAGTTTTCAAGTCCTTGCTTGAAAGGAGTACAAAGGTTATCTAGCATCTCAGAACTTGGTTCAGTTCTACATTTGTTTTTTGTTCTTTTGAACGTAACTAGGCTGAGATATTTTCCACTCATTCTTGTAGTAAAAACCATACTTATTGAACCTTTTATAAAATGTAGCCAAGTTATGTATGGCATGGCAATTTTCACCATAAAAAGTTGGTAGAGATTTGCATGCAGCTAAAAATGGAGACTTAAAGAAAAAGAAAGCAATAGATATTCTTACTTTCAGGTGATGTTTTCACTTTTTCTGCAGAGACTCTTGTGACAGTAATTTTATGGACTGGCCAGTCCGTTGAGAAATACTGTATCTTATTAATGCAATTAACACTGCCTATCTTTTAGGTGATAGAGAGCGAAGCCAATTCTGGTTGGACACAATTGGAAAACATCTCATCTACCTTAGAAAATCTTGTGGATGAAGTGCAGCAGGCTGCTATCTCCGAGATGAGAAGCAAACTAAAAGGAGAATGGAAGGAGCTTCAGGATATTATAAGTACCAGGTATAAAATAACAATTTGTGATTTTAGCTAAGGAATAGTTCATTTTAACTAATGTGCATATTTTGAAGGGAATAATGTATGTTACAGAAAATATCTGCACACTTTTAACCCTTTATTTTTAATAATTGCATAAAATTAAGCTTTTCTTAATTAGTCTTGGTTCACATATACATTGCAGGTAGTGTGACCCTTTCCAAGAAGGACAGAGCTAGATCTTTGTAACATCACTGTGCAATATTCCCAAGTTTACTGTTATTCCCTTCAACTTTTTGGTTAAATTCACTGGGATTCACACTGCTTTTCAAGAGAAACTTCTTTGACCTCAGGAGGAGGAGGAGGATTGGATCCGTTAGTCAATTACATTATCTTTGTGGCTTTTGGTGCTGTAAAATGTTAAGTGTCTTTTCTTGTTTACTTTCTCAGATGATGTTTTGTTACCTTTCTTGTAGAACAAACTCTTTAAGGACTGCTTTGGAAATTGTTTTGCCAATAGAAAATGAATCCATTCTTCTATGTGAATTAGATCAGCGGCTGAAGAAAAAGGACATCCAGCAGCTTAATCTGATGAATAGTGATCTTGCTTATAGGGAACTAAAGGTAAGGGAAAATGCAGAGACCACACCCTAGCCAGAATAGTTTTTAATATAGTCTAGGAACTAGGGAACTTAATGGAATTTTCATTCAGGAGTTTGGGACAGCTCACAAGACTTCACAAACCTTCTAAAGCCTATAACAGCATTTTATTCCCTTTGCTTTAAATGTCATTGTTACTGTAGAGCCAGCCAGGGACCCTCAATAGGTTTAACAGTAAAAAGCATAGTTGTGAGCATTTCATCTTGGGTTAGGACTTTCCTTTGATCCAGATTTACACTGTTCCCACCTGACTTTATATCACTTTGTGGAGTCATACACATAATGTGGTGTTAATTTGTGAGCTAAGCTAAGCTGCCTTATGTCCCATCTGCTGAGGTGTCTGAGCACACCCCAGAGTGGTTTTGGAAGCTCTGCATGTACGCAGTAACTTGTTCACCCGCTATCAATATCTTATGCTTAGGTTTGGTCTGTCTGTTAGGCAGGGTGAATATTGTTGTGTTCTTGACATTCATTCCGAGCTGAACACACTGGCTGAACACACTGGCTGCTATGCAGAGCTAAACGTTCACATATCTCTGCCCTTGGATCTCGAGCTAAGTAGGGTTTAGGTCTCACATGCTGTAGGGCAGAGGGCTTGTGCACTCTCTTTCTAAGATGACTCTTTTTGGCTGGAAGGGCCCTGCATTTTTTCCCTGCTCTCTGCACATTGGGAGTTTCACAATACTGATGCGCTGCTGTTTGTCCGAGGGCTGTAACCTGGTAGCATGCAGACTTCACCAAGAGATTTTTAAATGCGTGTAAGTCTCCTCCAGAAGTATAGCATAAAGAACTTAAAAAAATGGCAGTATAACAAACATCTATATGCCCATCTGTGCTCTGTGTGATCTCTCGCTGTGAGGACCTGCTGATTTCAGTCCCGGGACTCTCATCATCTTTCTCTCCCTTTTGTCCGATTGCTGGAAAGAGGCTTGGGCTTTCTATAATGCTGACCAAATTCCCTGTGTGTGTAATACCATTCTATTTGATTTTTCTTCTTTTACCTTCCCTCCACCAAACTCTAGAGTAGGAAAAAAGAGGTTTTCTTTCTTAACCACCCTGACTAGCATCCTTATTTTATTGCAAATATAATTTGTTTTTCAGTGATAGGTTCAGCTTGAATGCAGTGTACAGGTTTTCTTTCACTTGCTTACGCTGTTGGTTGTTCTCTCAATTTCAGGAGCTACAGAGATCCATATTAAATCAGATTGAGGTGTGCAAACAATTGGAACACCTAGATAGTTCAGCAAGAGATGAATTTAATCCAATAGATCTGCAAGCTGCAAGTAAAATTATGATTTACTATCAAAACCAACTTGAAGAAATGAGCCATAAAATGCAGATCCGTGAGACAGTCCTTAAAGATCTGGAAGCTTTTATGGCCTCATTGAGGAAGCTTCAGTCTTTCATCAAATGTCTCATAGATCCCTCAGGCCAACCTGAAATACAGGGAAAAGCACTGAGAGAGGCTGCACAAGAAGTTTCTCATATGGTAGAAGAGGCTAAATGTTTGGATGAACGCTTGAAAACAGTTGATATTTGTTTGGAAGATGCTGAATGTGGGACAAAAACTTGCTGTGAAAACCTTGTTCTGACTTTATCTGAAGAGCTAAATGTGACTTATGATCCCTCAAGTGAACAGATACTTACAGACGAAAAGGACTTATACAAGATTTTTTCCACAAAAAACAGTGAACTCCTTAAAAACATTCAGGATCTGCGTGAAAGAATTAACAAAATAGGCTTGAAGGATCCAACAATTCCAGCTATTCAACAAAGGTGAATTCTTTTTTAAAGCTCTTTTGATTTCATAATTTCAGTGACCCCAGAGGGCCTGTGGCCCCTTCGCAGTACAGCACTGAAACCTGAAGGTGTCTTGAAGTATCTGTGGAGCATTGAAAGAAACTGTGAACTTATGTTTTATTCGTTCTGTCACAGCCTAAATAAAGAAGCCTTCTCCATTTTTTCTTTCCTTTTAAACTCCTCTGTATGTGTGTGTTTGAAGTGTCAATGAAGAAAAAATAGGAGGTTGATTGTGATGATCTTAGTTTTCAGTAAGAAAATCATCAAACAGGGAGACGTGTCTCCTTGCTGAGCACTGATATATGTGATCTGAAACTTTGTAGTGTAGAAGCCTTGTGTTTTACCACATCCTGAGAAAGCCACTAACATGATTTGTATGTCTCCAATACTGTTTCAGAGGTGCTCTCTGCAGCCTTGCAAAGGATGAATAAACAATTCACTACTGTTTATGCAGATGGAAGGAGGGAGGGGAGAGGATCTTACAAGCTGTGACCATTTTTTAAGTTGTGAAATCCCATGCTATGGCATAGCTTCATTTCTTAGACCATATTTTAAGATAGCCAGAATGCTCTTACCTTTTAATACAAAATAATTCACTATGTTCATACAGAACCTATTGGCCTTTAGGATTTTGGATTACTTTGTCAAAGAGCTTAGGTCAGCATAACTTATCTGAAGGACTATGTCAAATTACACGAACTGAAGATCAAATTAGACTTTTTATGATCTCATCTAATATAGTCAGTATGTGCAGCTCAGGATGAATTTCTAGAGGACTTAATTACATTGGGAAAAAATATCAAGGACTTACTTTAATATAAGGCTGTATTTCATTTTTTTTCTAATAAAGGGTAAAATCATTAACAGAATTGGAAAAGGAATTGGATTGTGCTGCTGTTGAAATGAAACCTATGCGAGAAATTGCTAATAAGCTCCCACAGATCAAAGAGGAAAAAGCAAAGGAAGCAAATGAACAGTGCAGAGTTACAGAGAGGTTATGGGAGGATACAAAACTCTTGCTTGCTGAATGGTAAGGAGAAAAGCTACATTTCAAAGTAGTATGTACAAGTAAGAAGTTCACTTGTAAACAGCAAATAGGCCTTAGACATACTTGAAAGTAAATTAAATACTGATACAGTAGCAAATGTTACTATTATGATGCTGTAAACTATCATAAACATAGAAGTTTGCAGCCAAAGCTCATGAATTTTATGTATTTTTAAGACATCACAGTCCAATCATTTAGCAGGTATGCAGTGATGTGTTGGACTTAATTGGTATACAAAAGAAAAGCCTGTCTGCTTTTGGGAATGGTGTCCTCTATATTTGCTGTGAATTTCATGCCAGCACTTACAAAAAGAAAAGTCAAACTGAAACAAATGTAAGAGGACAGCTGGGAAAACAGAGAGTCTCTTACGCAGGAAAAGTCTAAAGGAATTTGGTTTGATAAGCTGGAGAGAGTGAGGACTGGGAAAGGCTATGATTGACGACCCAGGGCATCTGTGCTTCCCTTATGGTTTTTAAAGGTGCCTTTATGATTTGCATGGACTGACATAGTTCTGGTTAATCCTCCTGGCCTGCACAGGTGTTGGAGGGAGTAATCCGTTTTCATATCCCATTGCAGGTTGACTGAGGTGGTATTTCCCACTGTCTACTACCTGAGATGTTGTGATACCTGCTTGCGCATTGTATTTCAGTTTACTGGTGACTGAGCTCACCTTTCAGGTGGAGAGTATTGTGTAAACCTGAACTGCTCAGGTCACATCATGGTTAAATGTGAATCAGAGTTATAAGATGGTGAAGGCCATTTCTGATCCAAAAACTGTCCAAATACCACAGCCCAGGAATCACACAGTATTACAGGGTTTATGACTGGTACAGTTGATCTCTGCTTTTCTCTCTTCCAAACATAGCAGTCAAACTCCCCACATGTCTGAGTATAGGAGAAGGAAGCAGACAAGAGGTTGAGGCTGCTGTTTTATGCTTAGACCATAAATAATACATCTCTTTTTAATAGCCAGGAGCAGTGTGCAAGGGCTCTGGAGCTTCTGAAGCAGTATCAAAGCTGCAAAACTAGTCTGACCAGCATCATCCAGAAACAGGAGATTGTGCTTTCACAGCAAACTTCTTACATGGGGAAGGAGAATTTGAACAGACTAATTACAAAGGTGAGTAACAAGAACTTGCTGAAAAGGAAAGAAAAGCCTTTCCTGGGGCATTTGCGTGTAGGGTTGCCCTTGCGCACCCACCCTTCAGAGCAAATGTTAAGACCTTGCCTTCACTTTGGCCTCCAAAATACATTTAGGGACACTATCCTGGTTTTGTTTCAATTTGATGTCTAGTTTTGCTTAAGAAATTAAGGTCTTATTAAAGGGGAGGGATTAAAAAAAAACAACAAACAATCCCCATAGACAAACTGTGCTCTAGTATGAAAATAAGATTAAATCCTGTGCTACCAAAAACACAGGTTGAAATTGGCCAGATTCACCCATACCCTTTAGAATATTTCTATATTTTCTACTAACTTCAAAAACCTTATAGTGGGCAGTTTGTAAATATACAAAAATAGCAAATTCATTTGTTATGAAGAAGATACTTGAAAATGTTGTACCACTTAAAGCAAAAATAATAGGTAATTCACCTCCTTGGGGCTGCTTGTTTCTCTGCTGTCACTGTAGCTTATAATCAAAGATTTAGATCCGTATCCTCTCCTTGCTCATGTCACTGGGTCCCAGGCAGGTCTTCAGCCAGCCCCACACAAGCAGGAGCAGGAGCTGCAAGGCTGTGTCAACATGGCACGTCTGCTCAGAGACTGGGCCATGACAGTTCTATCCTGCTTCCCAGTCTGGTGTTTGCGTACCTCGCTGTATGTCATTGCCACCGTGCTCAGAGACAGCTTCGGGATTGCCAGCATGGCGCTGCCCTGGGATGTGGAGTTCTGGAGGCCAGAATGGTTTTGACTAGGCTGGTGATACAGTATTTCCTTGGGCTGCTTACATTTGCAGCATGAGTCTCTGCCCTCAAACTGACTTTGCTGACCAAACTGTGTTGCGGTTAGAAGCCATAACAACATAGTTCGGTATTTCTCCTCTCGCTTCACCTATGTTACAAACCTACTTAGAAGACAGACCTTCTATATAGGAGCCGTGGCCTCCATAACCGACATTTGCTCCATGCTGTCTTTGATAGCAGTTAAACATTTGGAGTAGCTTTTACATTAGCTGATGAGACTGAATGAGCATATATTGCTGGACACCCCCTGATTTAGTTTAAAGTTTACTACTTTTCACACAAAAATTTCACAGCCAGCTACGTTCTTCTTGGCTAAATGAATACAACCACTGGACGTAGGTGTCTATGGCTAACGGATTAGCAAGCAGCAGCATGTCCATCATGACCATTTTGCTACAGAGGTTTCACATTTCCTGGCTGGGTTTTATACCTGGCTGTTGAGATCCCATTTTTAGGCTTTCTGATAAGGCATCACCCATACTATGCAGGAACATTTCCTCTCAGGCAGTGCATGCCATAGTTAAATTTAGAAAGGAATGTAAGCGGTTTCTCCTCAGGCAATGGGATGGTGTCCGTGTATGCCACCCCGACTACAGCTGAGGCAGGGTCTTTTCTTGGTTTCAGCAGTGAGACCTCTGGCCCCTCACATCACTTGGGCTTCTGGAGCATGGGAGATCGCGGGCATACCCTGGCCCCTGCTTGTATGGAGACCCCTTGCTCTGTTAACAACCTTTCCTCCTCACCTTGAGTTTTGCATCTCCCACTCTCAGAATTGTGGTCCACAATAGCTGTGGCACTGTACAAGGCATGTCCTTGAGTGCTGATGATTTGTTATTTATAATTATATAAAATAATAACAGAGAGAAGATTCTCTGCTTTGTTCTGGTTTATGCTGCTCTGCCGTCCCTCCCCGTATCTCAGTGGCTGGCAGTGTGTGTATGAGAAGATGTAATGCTTGTCTCTGGGAAGTAAGGAGAGCTTTTAATATCAAATTGCTTAACAAACACTAGAGGTCAGTGTTTCTTTTCCAGCGAGCTTCCGTGCTGTTTGTAAACACTGACATTACCGTTAAGCACAAAGCAGCAGTCTAGCATTCAAACAGAAAGTAGGAAAAAGGGACATTTCAGTTTCTGGCAATGGCATATTTGGCAATGGCTATGTTTAAATAGGATTCAAGCTTTTTTTTAAAAAGTAGTTCAAAACCCGGGGATCAGAATGCCAGGTTATATTTTTTAGAGTTGTAATAGTATCTCAGATGGTTATTACATTGTGCATTGTTTATTTCTATAACTGAGGTTCGTGTATGGATGTACAGTCCCTTTGGGTCTTGCAATTACAACTTTTAAAGCAAACTGTGGATTTGGCTGTCTTAGTCGGAAACGTATTATCCATAGTTCCCACTTAGCTGTTTTGCAGCCAGTAACAGAATGATGTTGATTTCTATGCTGTTCCTATCAGCATGACAGGGATATAACAACACAGGATACATTCCTCGTTTCATAATGTTATATAAAATAGATTATTTTGTGTAATGCTGTTGTTTCTCTAAACTAAAAAGAACAGCTTATCAATTAAAAATGTTTTGCTGAATAAACAGTCATAAGTAAACATGCTCATAAATATCCATTTGGTCTTTTTCACAGATTGAAGAGGCAAAAGAGGAATTTAATGATCACTCCGAAGATGTAGACAGAATAAATCAGATCTGCAAAAACCTTCAATTCCAGCTCAATAAAATGAGAAGCTTTGAGGAGCCTCCATTTGAGAATGAGGCTAACATTATTGTGGACAGATGGCTGGATGTATGTAAAAAGTAAATTATCAGGGTGGTCTTATCTGTTATGCATTATAGTAATTGATTCTGACGCGTATGTAATATTTGGAATAAATTAAGTGCAATATGGCAAAGATTCTTAAGAGGTAAATCCAAGTGTTTACCAGAGCAAAGCTTGCAAAGTGTCTATTGGTGTAATGTTTCTGATCTCTCAGGTAGTTTATAGCATGGGTACTCCTTGACAGTAAATAATTGTAGGAAATACAGAAAGGCAATATTTCTGTTTTCTGCATGAATCTGTAAGCTTCCATAACAACTTCTGTGGATTCAGACTTCGGAGAAAATCTGGAGAATTACAATGCTGGTGCTTTTGGGGGAAATGTTTGCCACTGTTGACCTAAGCAGTGCATCAATACTGAGATTAGATGGTATTTACTGAGAGTAGATAAACATTAGTGAGCAAGGCTCCTTCCTAAACCTGCCTTAAAACTGGCAAGCTGCCGTTGTGATTGGTATGTTTGGTGACATGTGTGGCAGGGATTTAAATATCTTCTCCATGACCAGTTCACTGTGAAGACACATCAGATTTGTTTCCTTTGCTGCACTTGTTGTTTTTGTGGGTGGTTTCATCTCACTCAGATTTTATAATGCTGCATTTGCTTTTAGAATATAACTCAACTTTTTTTAAATCTGTGTGTATCTTCTGTATATAAATCTCATGGTAGATCAACGAAAAGACTGAAAACTACTGTGATAATTTGGGAAGAGCTCAGGCTTTGTGGGACAAACTTCTTAGTTTATCTGGCACAATCGACGCTTGGGCAAATGCAGAGCTGAAGAACATAGAAGACCATTCTCTGACCGAAGAGGAGCTTACACAGCTGAAGGTAATTTGAATGGAAATTTTTTACCCTTAACCTATACTGTTGATATGGTCTTTCCTCCGTAAAAGCAGAGGAAGCTGTAACATTTGCAATTCTATCTGCATGCGTAGTCACTGAAGATATTGCATAATGTATTTGGGATACAGGTCTTGGAAACTAATAAATAGAGAGCATATATATATACTAAATTGTTTTAAATTAATGCAACACTGCAAATGCTGCTTTAGACTCCAAAAGCCCCCTCATTCCTTTGTGTTGCACAAACATACAGCAAAGAGAAGGCCTGAAAAGCTTGTAATCTGGGTACAGTGGTGCACATTTTTCCTTGTGTCTGGAGAAGAAAGGGAAGAGAGCATGTATAGGCTGATGATTGGTTTTCTAGTTAGAAATTGCCTATCAGTGAAGATACTGGAGCCTTCCTTTAGCTATGGATGGGCAATGCACAGTTCAAGAAGGGGTTGCAGAGGTGGCTTATTTTCTCCTGCGATCCTTGTCCTGGTGTGGTCCCTAGTGTAACTTAATGCAGCCTTAATAGTGGCTGGCACTGAGGGTCTCCAGGGGCTGCACGCGGGCAGACATCAGCAGAGCCTGGGCTGCCCGTGCCCCTCTTGCAGGGACTGTAGCATTAACTCTTGGTATCGGGGTGCAGTTGGCTGTAAAAGCACATGCACTAGCTCTGTGCCTTTGAAGAGCCTCACATATGGGGATAAATATTTTAATTTCTGACTTTAGGGCCATAATCAACCAGCTGTGCTGCTTTGTTGTAGTTATAGCCAATATCTATTAAACAAAAATAATTTCCTGCTTGAGTGGGATTGAGTCATAAATATATCGCATACCTGCTTGTTTGAAAATACGCAGGCAGCTTTTTCTCAGTGTTTACATGCTACAAATGCCCTGCTTTATATTATGCTTATCTGCAGTGTTGCTATTACTGTTAGCACTGCTCATTTGTTTTAATTTGCAAAGCAGTAAAAACACATGTATATAGGAAGAGTAGTATACACACTGTGTAGGGGTAGATATTTTGTCACATTATTATTGCCTTTACCATTGTATCATTAGAATTTACCTGGGGTAGTTCAGGTAGCTCCAGTAAAAATGCACCAGCTGGCAACTGCATCTTAAGAGCCATTTTCTTACCTGGAAGCTGCTCAAGCCTGGCATGATGTGACCATGCCCCTGACTTGCCTTTACTGGTGCTTAGTAAGGGCTGTACTGGAGGTGGCTGCACTAAGGTTACTCTGCTGCTCCCATGCAAGAGGGTAACTCTCAAAAGAGAGGGGAGGAGGGGGCAAGGGAGAGAGAAACCATGGTTCCCATGGGCTACTATAAAAGAAGAAGAGAAGGAGAGAAAACTGAACTCAGTGCATTGGTATTTTTGTGAAATGATTTAAAGTGCAGAGTCCATCAGATCCATTTATCAATTTATTATTATTTCTTTTGTTATTGATCCTGAAACATCTCTACATTAATATTAATTAAAAAAACAAACAAATCAACTGTTGCAATATGTATCATGTTACATAGGGTTGAAATCCAGGGAGTGTCCTTTCAAGAAGCCTGTCACAAAAGAACAGAGTAATGAATTATTTGACTGTATATTTGAAGATATTTCAGTATAAATAATGTGAGAGAAGTTCTGCTTTCCCTTGTAGCCAGAATGCAAATGGAAACTTTTTTAAAGGCTGCAGCATGTGAACGAGTTTTGATGATTGCTTGTACAAAGACTGTGAAGGAATACTTTGCCCTGAGGGAGTTTGGAATGTGCATTTGAGAATATGAGACAATGTGACTGTTTTAGATATATCCCGTTTCATCAGTTGAAGCTGGTATTTTACTTTCACATTACTGGCTTGTTCCAAAATCCATTCAAATGAGTAGAGGTCTTTTCATATACAAAGGATTTACATTAAAAAAGTGCTTACAGCATGTGTTGTATTTTATCATATCCCTACCAAAGTGTATCATCAGGATGCCAATTCTTGACTTTAAGTCTGAGAATATCCTTTTTAACAGAAGCAGCAAGAAATAAATACAAAATTAAGATTATTCTCCTGCAAATCTACGTGCATTAATATAGAAGTAAAATACTTAAGATTGTTAAATTTATGCTAGATTTCCATTAACAACTGCTTTGCCTGAGAAACATAGCGTGTTTCTGTGTATGCCAAAATGCAGAACCAGAATGTTAAGATAATTTTCTAGCAGTATATAATAAAATATTATTATATACACAACTTATATATTATATAGCACACAGTATATATTATTTTATATATACTAGTATATATTGTATACTAGTATATATACAAAATTATATACAATATTGATATTATGTATAGTATATACTATAATAGTATAGTAATATAGTTTTCTAACAGAAATGTGGAAATTTAATTTTCCACAATCAGCAATGTGTTTCTTCCACCTTTAGGCATGCTTGCGAGTCCAAGAGCAGAAACTCCAGAAATTTGACAACACAGTGGCTGAGATAGAAGAACTTCTGAATAGTAATGAACCTCCACTGGAGCTACAGGTACAAAGAAGCTTTTACAGCTGATATGCCAATACTCATTACTGCAGCCCTGCTTCTAGTATCTTCTTTCCCACAGTCATTTCTGGGTTTGACAAATCTGCCCCAAGAGAATTGGAGGCATGTTGTTGGCTGTTAGCAGTGGCATTTCATTTGCTGTCTTTCTCAAGCTGTTAGAACCAAACCTGTCATTTTTAGACGCAAAAGCCTGTCTCAGTTCTGGGTGTTTTAGGGACTTAGACCTGACCCAACTGTTTTGCAGGCCTGCTGAAACAGGAAAATATCAGTGTTATCTGGCTTTTAGGTATTGGCGAATAACAAGGCACGATGGACAATGTCATCCCTTTGAGGATCCAAGCAGCTGTGTGCTGATTGTCTATTTTAAAACGTACCTTTACCTGGATATGACTTAATGTAGCTTGGTAGTATGTAGCTACTTGCACAGAGTGATGTTTACTGTGATGTTTTCCTTTGGGATATCACAAGAAAATCTTCATCTTTTTGTGTTAACTTCACGCAGCAAGGACCACATTAGCCTACCTTGGTCCTATACCAGTTCTCTAAGCATGCGCTCCCGGTGTCTGTCAGATGCACCTTGAGCTTGACCCGGTTTGGCTATTTGTGTGTTTATCCTCAGCAGACTGAACTCAGAGGAATTTCACTGGGTAAAGTGATCTAAGGAGCTTAGGAAAGCAACCTTGTACTGTGAACACTATGCTTCTTGGGAGCACCAGACGCCCTGAGCCCCCTGGGGTGGTGTTTCAGCATGTGGCTGTGATACCATTGAGTTGCTGTCTCATGCCACTCTGCAGAAGCATTAAGGATAAGGTTAAGGACCTGTTGGTCCTTAGTGACCAGTCTTGAGCCAGAGCTCCCCACCTCTCTGTTGTCCTTGCCTGTTTTTTGGTTTGCTGTGGGCAATTTGCCCCAGTGGGATCACTGCAGGGAGGAGTGTTACAGAGCTGGCATCCTTTTTTTCATGATAGCCAAAGCACATGTAAGGCTTTTATCCAGCTGAGAGTAGGCACTGGAGTAGACTGACAAATAAATTTGTTAGTAAAGCAGCACCAGTAAATGCAGCGCTAATAAAAATGAGATCATTCCTCCTCTGAAAAGCAGGACTTAAATACTATTATTTTTCAATTTATGGAGTGGGAGGGAAAGAAACTGGAACAAACTGTGACTGAAATGTCTGGACTTTAGCTCATTTCATTGCTTTTTATGTCTATCATGGAGTTTTGTAATATTCTAGGAAATCAATCCAGTATAATTTCTTACGTATGTTTATTTCCAATTTTAAGGTCATCAGATCATCTGTTGTGCAAAAGATGGAGCTAATAAAAGAGCTCTTGTCAACGAAGCGAGGGACCAGTGAACTCAGCGTGAATACAGCAGAACTAAAAGGAGACCTTGATCTGGCCAAGACACAGATTGGAATGACTGAATCACTTTTAAAAGCTTTATCTCCTTCTGACACCTTAGAGATCTTTACTAAGTTAGAGGTAGCGTGCTACAAATTATGCATCTTTTATAATTTCATTCATTATTTCTCTCCTGGGGAAGTCATCATAAGTGTTTCTCCTGTATATGTTATAAACTGCTAGAATAACTCAAGTGAAGAGTCTGGCTTGAATATTTCCTTAAGCTGCCAGAAACATGAGAGAGAAGCCTGTTTTCACTGGATTTTATCAGATGTAGTTAGTTAACCCTTGCAGCTATTGGAAATGGTTAATGGTAGGCACGACAACAGTATAGCACCCAAGATATGTTGAAGCAGTAGTAGAGGTACTGGGTTGCATCTTTTCCAAGACTGGGTAATATACAGATGTTGTCATTGTGCCACCTGAGCCTGCCTGCAAGCTGGAGCTCCCAGTACGCAATTTCAGCCAACTTTCCATCCTCTTTGCACCATGGAGAGAGGTGAAGAAAGACCTGCTTCCTGCTTGGAGGTTCAAGGCTGGCAAGATTTAAACCTCCTGTTGAGCTTCTAGGTACTATATGCTCTGGAACACACTCTAGTAATGTGCATTGGACATACCTATTCTGTGTGATGCCAAAATGTGCATGAGTTAATGTATGTCTGATTGTGTATGCATAGAGATGTATACACGCTGCTGAAGAACAGTTTAGTGTTTATAACTACATATTGATTGCCTTGTTGATGTCAATATGCTTTAAGAAATTATTTTGACACATAGGCGGGAATAAACCCTTTTGCAAAACTCTAGTTTGTACTATTGCAGCTCTGTACAGTGAACTTCTGCTTGCACTTCAAAATTTTCCTTTTAATGGTTGTCCTTTGTTTTTAACTTCAGGAGATACACCAGAAAATTCTGCAACAAGAACACCATGTGACATTACTCCAAGAAGAGACAGATTGTCCTGATGTGGATGAATTAAATAAGCAGCTTAAATGTGTCACTGATTTATTTAATAAGAAGAAACATGTGTTTCAAGAACACTTTATTGGTGTTTTGAACCGTAAGCAAACAAATCTCACATTTATGTAGCTTTATAGGTTTGTATTGACCATCATAATCACTTAAAGGTTATGCAATTAATGTATTTTTGGTTTGGTGTCTGAAACTGCTTCAACATCTGAACCTGCTTCAGGGTTCTGAACAAGGTGAAGGTTGGGATAAAAATGACTGTTGAGTCCAACAAACCACTCAACCTAAAGTAAAGTATTTTGTTCTTTTTTTTTACACTTAAAGAAATATAAAGCATAATTCAGTCACAAATGTCAGAAGATTTCATTTAAAAATATAGCTATCAAATGTTTTTATTTTTTCCAGACATTTTTTATTTAATCTTCATTAAAACAATGAAGAGCATTTGTTTTATGCAGACACAGGATTGTGTGCAGGTGTAGAATTAGGCCCAGAGGTAGTCTCATCCTCAGATAATTTTTGAGTTATATTTATTTGTGTGGAAATGAGAAGAGTTGTCAATAGGCTAATCCGGATCTTATTTACTGAAACTGCTATGTATAGCAGTCCCTCCCAAGTGAACAGCTATGTTTATTGTCAGTTAATGTTGGGTAAAAAAAAGTATGAACAGCAACTGATAAATGTAATTACAAATTGTCTGAAATCTTCATGTTAAATGGGATTTTCTTTTACAGAATAAAATTAATGAAGAAAATTGGAATGTATCTTTTTTCAGGTCAGTGCAAGAATTTTAATGACTGGGTCAGCAGCACTCAGCTGTCTTTGAAGGACTGCTTTGACCCCTCAGAAACAAAACCAATACTGGAAGAAAAACTGCAGAGGCTAAAGGTAAAGTATTAAAATGTTCTAATTTCTAAAGCTGATTGTTCTTGAAGTTTTACTTTTTTATGCAGGAGACTATTCTTGGGAGTGAATTCACCTACAGTGATTTTGTAACATTTCATGTAACCAAAAGCATTAGGACAAGAAGTGGAATGAAAATAAAATTTTCTTAAAGTCGAGTATCAGTGTTCAAGTTCAGACATAGTTGGGCAAGTGAGAGACAGGACAGTAGCTAGCAAAAGTCAATGGACTTTGACCAAGTACTTCAGTGTGCAAAGATGCAGGAAGTCAAATATGTGGAGAGTAAAATGAAATTCTGACTCCCACTGGACTCAAGTGTGAAAAATTTGCATTCACTTTGTTGTAGCCAGATTTTCACTTCAAGTCAGACAGAATCAACAAAGAAGAGATGGAAAAGCCACAGCATCTGCAAGAAGCAATCACAGTTACACAGCACAAGAAGAGATAGTGATATTAGTGCTAGATTTGAGTGCTGCTTGCCTATTTCTTCTGTGTGCATTTGTGCTGTAGAGTTGAAAATCCAAGTAATCTACTTCACTTTCTCCTTATTCTGCAAACAGCAACTTTTCCATTTCCGAATGGAATAGTCAGCAAACTGTGAATTACCATATATTCCTTTTCAGGAACTGGAATTACTGTAGAAAGTAGTGGTAGAGATAACAGGAGTTGAAAAACTCTTGTAACATAAATATCTATTATACAACAACAAATATGACAAATGCGTCTTAATGTTTGTGCTCTTATTCAGCACTTCCTAACATCTGAAGGCAAAGACAGAGATATCCAAGGGGTTACAACTTTATTGAATAAAGTGAAGCATTACTTGCCCAAAGCAAGCATTAACCACCTTAACAGCCGTGTGAGAGATCATGAAGCAGAACTACAAAGATTGATCTCCAAATGTCAGAAACGGGAAAAGGAACTTGGTGCTTCTCTCCAACAGCTCAGTAGGTAGGGAACTAATGTATTTTCTGACATTTTAATCACAAGTGATAGGAAATGATTCATTATTAAACAGCTATCGTGAATGGCAAACAACCCTGCTTTTTATTAAAGATGGTATTTTAATAAAGGGTAGTGAGTGTTGCTATATGCTTCACGTGTTTTTTCACTTTGTAGCAGACTCAGTGTTACATGGGAGTATGTGCTTATGGATCGTTTCAGTGACATGAACTGAGATACTTAATGTTAAGCTTGTGCTTAAAACTTTGCTTGATCAGGCGCATGATATTTATGTTACTTTTTCAGCAAAACAGTGCTGTCAGCAGGTTTTAATCATGTAACGTCTTTCACTTTGACCTATGTCTGTATTTGTGCTCTCTTTAGCCTTGAAGAAAGCAGCATGGTCTTGGAAGAATGGCTCACTGCTCAGAAAGAAAAACTAGAAGAGATCAAAAAAGACGAGACAAAACTTGAAAACTTCCATAAAACACTATTAATGCAGAGGTATCATTTTCTTTGGTCTCTATCTAGGAACTGTCTTCTGAAGAAGATTGCTCCATGTTGTTACAACAAACAGATGTTTATTAATTTTTTGTGTTTTTCAGAAAACCATTTGACTCCATGGCTCAGCTAGCAAATTCCTTGAGGGAGGCTGGGCTGACAGATGAAACCATTTCAGAAGCCAGTGATCTTAGTAGTAGATACCAGACACTGATAACACATGTAAGTGAAATGGCAGGGAATACTGAGAGACTTCCAGTGGAAGGACAAAATTTTGAAGAACTTGCCCAGGATGTTTCTTGCTGGATCAAAAAGCTTGAGGAGGCTGTTAATAACCTGAGTTCACAGGAAAGTGAGTTGCCGTCAGATGAAAGGATTAATCAGATAAAGGTATTGTGTTAAATGTATTTCTTTTCCACTTCACAGCTCATTCTAATATCAGGGGAATGCTTGATGGGTTACTACCTCTTAAAAGATATTGTCACTGCTGATTGCCTGTGGTTTTGTGGCTTATTTGGGGTGGGGTGTTTGTTTGGTTTGTTTTGTTTTTGCATAGTTTTTTTTACACCTTTAAGATGAGATTCTCTGCTGCATCTCTGGGTGGAGCAGCACTGAACTTGTAAGGTGCTGGTAACTGTGCACCTTATCCTCACAGCCTACTCCAGAGGTGGAGAGGGAGGTCAGTATCATAGCTGGGGCATCCGGAGAGCCTTTGCAAAGTGTGTGGCTTCTCGGGTGGGCTGCGGTGCCATTGTGCTGGGCTGCTCCACTGCCTGGGTGGGTCTTTCAGGCCCCAATGTTCTCTTCGACGTCTCCTCTCTCTGGCTACTTAGGAGGCCTTCTAACGGAGTAGCCAGAAATGAGGATGCTGGCATTTACAAGTTTCGTTCTGTGGAAGGGGTAGTATTCTGACAAATATATCTCCCTAATATTTGGAGCATTTATTAATTATTATCTACATAACAAAACCAATATTGTGCTGACAAATTAAAAAAATCAGCTTCGTTATCCCAAACTTTCTAAAACTAGATGATCTGTTTATGTAACAGTTATGTGATATGTTGCAAGGAGAATGCTTTTGTCTTGAACAGCAGTGTGCAAAGTATGAAAAAAATCATTGATAATGCCTTTTATTTTGTGACCAAAAATAGTTGGTATATGTACTGCTTCTGCTTCTTGTTAAATACAGGAAATGACAGCTCTCAAAGATGCAGTAGAAGCCAAAATACAGAACATGGTAGCTCTAGGAGAGACTTTAATGGGAAATGAGGAAAATAAGAAGCCCATGG